GAGAGAGAGAGAGAGCTTGACTGTTGGCCCAACACTTCTACCAAAGTTTTAATTCCAGGCTTAGATTCAGCTAAATTTTGAATCAAAATCTCAAGATCAAAAGAACCTATTGTTTTTGTGAACCAAATTTTGTTGATTTTGCCCCTAAATTTCGTAGAATTTATACGAATTTCATCAAAATATCAAAAGCAGAACACCCTTTTCAATTGGCTGAATTCATCTGACTTCGCCACTAAATTTGGTGGGCTCTACCTCATTTTAATCTCATATGAAGAAGAACTCATTTTTTCTGAGAACCATATTCCACTGGTTTTACCATTAAATCTTGAGAAACTGGTTCAAATTTTTGTTACTCACAAAGTAGATTGAATCAACAAACTTAAGAAGTCACAAATAATTTGTTAAAAATTTTGTTCAGGCTAAGGAGCTTACTAAAGGAGGCAACATATCAGAGTTTGCAGATCCAAAAATGAAGGGGAATTATTCAGCAGAGGCCTTTGATCTCACGTTAAAGATTGCACTCTCGTGCACAGGGTATAAGGTTCAGAGGCCATCAATGGAGGAGGTGGTGGTGGGATTGGAGAAGGCATGGTATATATCAACGGCAGGGACCCAAGATCCTCCTCCTCATGAATTCTCCTATTCTTGAACCCATAATACAAGAACCAATTAATGTATGCATATATGAAATGTATCTGAAATTTAGTGTTGTTGCTACAGAATAAATTGTCTTCAAAGAAACAAAGAGATTCAGTGTCAAATCTCTCTCACTCTCTCTCTCAAAGACAAACATATCCACAAGAAACCATCTTAAATTGCGAAATCTATCTCTTCTCATTTTCATATCAAAACAATATTATCATAGAGAACCTTTTAAAACTGCATACAAAACTTTATAACGCCGCAACATTTATCTTCTAGCTTTGACATCAAAATCAAAATATAATATCATACAAATGAGACTAGGGCTCCCCAAATGTATTTACAGGCGAACACCCTCCAAATCACACAAAAGAAAGAATCAAAGAATTAGAGTTGGGGTTTTTACAGAGCATGAACAACCTGCATCCCTGGTCGAGCTTCCTGGTTAAAAAAATTAGGGCTCGAGGGATAGAAATCATGGAGAAATTTCAGAAGAGCACTCGCCTTTTTACTAGGACGAGCGCTCCCACTTGTTTGAAGAGAATACAGAGAAGCCATTATCGATGGCTCCCTTCTAAGCTCAGCAACTACTTCAGGCCCTCCATTAACACACAGAGAGAGTAAACTGGCAACACAATACTCCTTTATAGATCTCGGAGCTTCATTGCTCAAAATTCTGGCTAAAATGGTCATGGCTCCCGCCTGTATCAAAGCAGCAGACCCCTCTGGTTTCTCTGCCAAAGTCACGACTACAGCTAGCACGTCGGCCAAAAGCTCTTTTTTTTTATCTAGGGCAAGGAGGTGAAGTAGAGCGGGAATTATTCCAGCTGAAATTGCCTTTTTATGGTTACCTGGATACAGGATCAACCCCAAAAGAGCCGCTACTGCATTTTTCTTGCCCCTAGTTGTTCCTTCCCATATCAGCTGAACCAGTGCTGGAATAGTAGAAGGAATTTCGCCAATAATTGGTCGGAGTTCTCGATTTCCAGCCAAATAGAAAAGGGTGGCAGCCGCAAATTCACGTGTTTCTTGCCGGATTCCAGCAACTAATACATTTGAAATCCCGCAAATCCCACCGGAATTTGCGATATCTGTCCGGTTTTCTGGCAACTTGGCTAGGCTCAATAACGAAGCCATGGCATTCTCTTGTGTCGAGGGGCAATTGATGTTGGCGATGATAGCTGGAATGACGCTGGATTTTGGCAAAGTTTGCCGAAAATCAGGGTCAGATTTCACCAACTGGCGGATTATTTGCAAAGCGATGTCATTTTCTGGTGAGATTCCAGCAACGAGTTTAGTGACTAAAAACTCAGAAAGAATCTGCTTCCCTTTCTTAGCTGCTTTACCAGCTGGAATCGGTGGAAGAATTTGTTTCTGACTGGTAGAGGTCGCTGGGAATTCTTTGCCAATGAGGCGGAGGACCTTGTGTGTCAGATTATGAACAGCGTTGTTGGGAAAAATGTGTGAGTGGGTCAGTGTCACGCCGGTTTTAGGGCATGTTGTGTTTCCGGCAGAGAGCCACTGCAATATCGAAATCCTGTCGTAAGTGTGCCCTGTCGAGATGGTAACCGGGTCTGTCATGATCTCGAGCGAGATCGGGCACCGGAAGTCTGTCAGGTTCATGCCAGAAATCTTTAAAAACTCGCCTGAAAAGCTTGTGGAGTCGCCAGAAAATGTCCATCTCTCACCAAAAGGACTAATTGAGTTACTACAAAATCTTGATTTATTGCTGGAGGAGATCTTTTCAGAAGAGCTTGTGGAATTGCCGGAAAAATCGAATACCAGACTCTGCGAATACTGAAGAAATGCTATGAGCCCACTAACGAGGTCTGTATCCCTGCTTCCCTCTCCACCACTGACTTCCTCTTTAAGGAAACAAATCTCATCTGCACATTCTGTGGAGCTCGTGATCCTCAGACGACTAAGAATCCGTCTAAGATCGCCGGTGTCAGGAGAGATGCCCCTCTCGAACCCCGACAAAACTGCAATAACATCTCTGGCAGCCCATTCCTCCAAAGGCTCGGGCATAAATTGGACCCTCCGAGCCTGCTCCAACAGCAGGGCGACGTGCTCTCTAACGTCCGGCGAGATTTCGAAGTCATAGAGGGGAAGCACATCGAGGGCAACAGAGATGTCACGAGAGAGAGATCGACACTCATGGGAGAGTCGTCTGGAGTTGAGGGCGAGCCAGAGGCGGGCCCCAGGGCGGCAACAGTCATGGAGGAGGAAGTTGAGCTTTTGGAGGGTGAAATGCAGCTCGGAGAGGGCAAGGAGGGCGGTGGACGAGAAGTGGTGGTCCGACAATTCGTCAAATAGGAGAAGAAGGGTGGTGGTCTGTCTGATGAGCTCGCGAGCATCACGACGGTGGGTGGGGAGATAGGTGGTGCATATGGTGCGGGAGAGACGAATCAGAGATGAGAGGAGGGCCGCAGGGTCGATATCCGGGCAGGGAGCAACCGCAGGGAGCGTGAGAAACCGTCGTCTGGCCAAGGCCATGAGAAAGAGAGAGGATGATCGAGAGAGAGGCTTGTTGTAGTTCGCTGAAGCTGAATTTTGAGATAGAGAGAGATTGGTTTTGCAGATGAACAATTTATAAATGCAAGAAGGAAGGATGACCCAATTACAGATGGGGAGACAGAGATTTGCAGGTGATGAATGAAGAGAGAGATGGGAAGAAATCACCAGAAATAACTTTTTGATTACCGGCAAAAATAGAGACAAAAAAAAAAAAAAAAGGAATAAAAAATGTTAGATATATTTTGGAGCTGAAGACAAATTGGGAAGTTTAAGAGAAAAAGAGTTTGCAGCAGAAAAGAGACAAGAGTTAGAGAGAGAAAGAAGAGAGAGAGAGTGGAGTTAGATTTTGCAGGTAGAGAATTCGTTGGATCCCTGACTTACGGGAAAACTATCCACGAGCACGAGACTCTTAATATAGGGAAGCTCACGGGACACGTGTCGTCGGATAGCACGGCTTCATTTTCCTCGATCGAGATCGCCCTTTCTCTGCTGGGGCTCGTCAGACGTGGACACGTGTACATAGGCGGAGGCGTGTCCAATCCGAGGAAGCTTATTGGTTTCTTCGTAGCATCGTGGGCTATTCAAATGTAGGTATGTACGGTAATACAAATTTTGACTCGCTTTCTACTTACGTGGCGGGACGCGGGTGGATGCCGACGGTTGGGTGGGACCCAGAGATTCGAAGGTCAGATTCGGAATGATGTGGAATAATTGAGGGTAGAATAGTCATTTACAGTGGATAGTTGGATTCTTGGTATTTTGGTAACTTTTAGTGGAGGAGATTGTCATATGTGTCATCCGTGTGATCGTGAAAAGCCTAGGTCACTATGCTATGAGCCTGTGAAAGATGGGCGGTGACGATGGACCCATGAAAAATGACACGATCCAAATGATCTATATGCTCATTCCATCACCATCCATTGGTTGATTGGACGTAGGTGGTTCATGGTTTACTTTCCCTTGTGGGGAAAGGGTAGATCCCATGTTTTATCTTTGGGAAACGCTTATATAGAGCCTAGGCTCTAAATAATCAAATTAGAGCCGACCTCAAAACTAGAAGAGGTTATTTTGATGTTCAAATATCATCAAATTAATCATCAAGATGCATGGATATAAGAAAAAAATAGATTTCAAATTATAGAAATAGTTCATCTTGTAACTAATTTTTAGACTGTCAATTTTTAAGATTTTTAAATTTTTATAGATCTGTTCGATCTACACTATTTTTGAAGCTTTAAATTTTATAACTTAAGATAAAAATATAATTTAAGGCTTTTACAAAACTTTTCAGTATTGAAACCATATTTACCGACACTATATGAAGGTGGGCTCTAATTTGATTGTTTAGAGCCTTGGGTCTATACAAACCGCACCCTTTATCTTTTATATGGGAAGCATTTTTTAAGTCGTGAAAAAAATAAAATAAAATAAAATATGAGATTAATTTTCGGCTATTGGACATGGCCATATAAAATCTCAACCATTGGGTGCATCCCCATAAATATCTAGTTTAGCAAACACCACAAACTTTGCAAGGTTTTAGAGAAAGTGGAATCATGTTAGGGGTGACAACTGGTCGGGTTGGGTCTGGCCCGAAAAATGATATGGGACCCAGACCCAAATTCGGGCCGCACCCGAATGCATCCGATGTGGACCCAGACCCGCATCCGATCGGACCCGACCTAAAAATTTAAATATATATATATATATAATTATATTTTTTATACTGGGACTCGAAAAATATTACGAGACCCAGACCTGGATCCGGATCCAAATAGTATTGAGGTCCAACATTTAGACCCGGATCCAACCAAATGGTTCCAATTTTTAAACCCTTACCCAGATGAGATCCAATACCCCTTGGGTCCCAAATGAGGTCGAGATCCAGGTCCATTGCCACCCCTACTCATGTATGTTATTTGTCGATCTTGTACGTGTGCTTAAAATTAAAACTAATAGTAGTCAATATTTAAATCAAAGCGCCCCAATGGACCCACAAGATTCATAAACTAGACTTGTCCAAGACAAATAGCCCAGTTGCTGTGGCAGTAGCTAGACTCCCTTTGAGTTTCGTTCAAAGACGAAAACATTGACAATTGACATAATTACCACTTTTCGGTGGTTTCAACTTTCGGGAGCATAGCAGAATTACCATCTTTTCATAACTGCAGCTCTTTTAAGGTTCTTCTTTTTGGCATAGCATAACGGAAAAATGGTTTGATACTGCAATACTATAAAAAAGAAGTAAAGTCTCATCTCATTATTCATTGAAAATTGCAATTAAAGCATTGAAAAACCTTTACATTGGTCACCTTTGCTCGAATATTATGGCTGTGAAAAGAATTATGATTTCAAGCCTAAAAATAGTATATATTGTCATAAATTATCTAAACCGCCTATTTCACCCTAGAAATAAGTGTTCATAGATCCGCAAAGATCTGTACAAGTTTTTGAGTTTCAGATTTTATTGTCAGGGTTGAAAATTGATTTTAGAGCCATAATGGAGATTCATGTTGACGAAAGTATTTTTTGATGAAAATTTAAGGTGAGGCTTTATTTTGTTTTCATAAAGTCTTGGCCTTATAAAAACTTCATTCTAATGGTATTATTGCTGTTTCTATTTTTTATTTTAAAAAATATTTCGATAGGGTCACAACCCTATCGAAATAAGTAAAACCTCACCGCAAAACTCACAGGAAATAATAGTTCTTGCATCAAAAAACCGTCAAATTGATCATCTCAGCCTTGACTATTATATATATATATATATATATATATATTATTTTTTTTTTTTAATTTATTTTTTAAATTTTAATTTTTTTTTTTTGAGCCCTAAAGATAAGTGTTCATATATCCACATGACTTATATTATTTTTTGAACTTCAAATTTCATAGTCAGTATTGGAAATTGATTTTAGAACTATGGTGGAGATTTCCAATGCTCAAAGTGCTTTCGGAATGAGAATTTAAGTAAGGCTTTATTTTATTTTCATAAAGCCTGGTCTTATATGTAGAGAAAAATAACTGTCACAATATCAGAATAATCCGCTTCTCAATTAGTGTAACAATGTTATACTAGCTCAAAACTCATAACCAAAGAGATAGAAGAAGAACAAACAAGATGATGTGGAAGAAAACCTTTCATTCAAATATGAAAAATGGGGTACATAAAGGCATTACAATCTTGATACCCAAGATTGACCTTAAAATATGTGACCCAAGGGTACATAGAGGCATTACAATCTGGACACCGAAGATTAACCTTAAAACATGTGACCCAGGGGTACATAAAAGCATTACAATCTTGACACCCAAGATTAACTTTAATACATGTAACCCAAATTTCTCACCACACATCTCTCTTTAAATAGAGGTCCTCACAACCATATTTACTACAATAACTCTCCACTCACAATAATAACTACTAACTTACAACAATAACTACTAACCACCTGATAGTTTCATAACTTCTTATTACATAAAAATACAAATTACAACCTCACTACATAGCTTATAATAAAATAAAATACAAACTAACATAATTTCTAGAAAATACACTTTAACAATTTTAACATTATAGAAACTGCATCCTCTTTATTTTTTTTATCAAAAAGACCTGTAGACATTATCACTTAAGGTTCTTTTTTTGCACTAATTTTTGGTGCCGAACCATAAAAAGTCAGTCTGAGCTAAAACGTATCAGCACTCAACAGTTTCGTGTGGTTCCTTCACCTATTTGAGTCACTATAAATTACAAGTATCCGGTTTCTATGCAGCTAAGCCTGCATATGTAAAAATGTGGGCTTCTTAATAAATCTATTTTGAGATGAATTTTAAGACTTAATTTTTAAGGACATGTAATCTTTAACATGGAGATCATGAATATGAAAAAAACAAATAAATTTTAAAAACTAGAAATAATAAATCTGGTAAGAAAACATTTGGACCGCTAGTTTTCATTGTTTGTTGATGGAACACCTACTTGCATCCATCTTAAAGATGGATGCTTTATATTTTCTGGATCACATGTAGAAACGCAGTCCAGCCCGTATACAACAATTTTCTAAATTTAAAATATAATAAATAAAGAGAAAAAAAAGCTTTGATAATGATAATAATGATGATGATGGGGAATTTAAACAATACATATCCGTTTATTATATATGAAAATATTGTGGAAACTTGTCTTAGAATAGAAGTGTAATGCAGTAGTTTTATAACATGTGTTAAAACAATTGTGTTCAAGCTGGATTGAAAGCATTTGCTTTGCGTCCAAACTCTGATTTACTTGTCGTTGTAATCTTCTAATAAAGAAATAAGGAAGAGAAGAAGGAGACCCCAGGTGAAAGCGATCTCATGCATTTTCAATCAGTTTTTTTTTTAATTCTATCTCTCTCTCTCAATAGAGTTTGAATTTTAATATTTGTCTTTTTTTTCTACAAATGTGATTAACTTAAAAATTTGTGGGTGTGTATGCCTTAGCGAGATGCACTTAAATACATTCTAAAAAAATAATTCAAATGATAAAAAAGACCAAATTACCCCATGAATATTTGAAGAGTATTTTATCATTTTATTTATCGATAATTATTTTTAATAGTTTAGTTAGATGGGAAAAGATTAGATATACACACGTCCAAAATTTTAAATTAATCAGACTTTTGAAAGAAATCAATATTCAAATACTATTGGATAATCATGACCTTTTAATAGATTTTAGATACTGATGAACCATGAATGAAATACTGTACAAATTCACTCATAAGAGTTTGCAATAAAAAAGTTATATGCGAGTCAAAAAATGCTCCATTGACTCAAGAACATCCATCATTAAAATAAACATAAGAGAAAAGAGCACGAGGACCTAGTTTCTTTGCCAAAATCTCATGCCTATGCAAAGGGGCTATTATGATGCGCTCCAGCATGCTGCAACTCATTTATGATCCTTCATTCCAAGTGCAAATGCATCACAATGTACCTGTGGGTCCCACACTAGTTTGAACCTTGATATCCATGAGATCCTTTGGAAATAATGTCCATGATATAAATACACCATGGCCTGGTCTAAGTCTTTGTTTGCTTACCAACACAAATAAAAAAGACAAAGTTAACAATGCATCACATCCCAAATAATTTACTTTGTTCTATGGCCCACACTCATCAAAGCTTACACCTGTGACACCATGTCGGCGACGTGTCGCATTTCGCCGACATAAAAACCTAAGATGTGCCAAAAGCCAATAGGTCCACGTGTACTCGTCCACCATATTGACACGAAGCATTGCACGTGTCGCCGTCGAGCACATTAATGCATATTAGATGAGTGAAGCAATTGTCATTAGCTTGAGGATTATCTAGAAACATCCATTTCATCATCTTCTGAATCATAAAGA